GTCCCCTTACACACAGCACTGTACGCAGGGCTAGGTATGACTATGCTGGTGTTAGAAAAGATGGGCAGGGCAATATAAGGTCATGGATTATCAAACAAACTGAAAGGCACAAACCCCTTATTTCATGAGTAAAGTGGGTACTGAACTGTTGGTGCATGAGTTAGAAAACGAGCCGAAAGGCGTAGGTGCATCAAACCCCTCATTTCATGGGTAAAAGTGCATATGATTGTGTTGGTAAGTTGGTTAGAAAACAAAATGAAAAGCACAGTAGCGTCAAACCCATTATTCCATGGATAAAATGAGCATGAATGTTTGTACATGGGCTAAATGAACGAAAGACACAGGTGCCTCAAGCCCCTTACTACATTTTCATATTATCGCAGGTAGATGATGTTACTGTTTTAATTAAATTATGATGACCACGCTTAGAAGCTGTTTGAAGGCCTTTTCGGTATGGTGATGTAGAGATTGATTCCAACTAATGGCGTTGTTTGTAGTACCATAGCACTAGTATTGCATGTAAACATGATAACAATCATGACTTGTATCTGGATGGCTCGGCGGAAAACAATATCCAGATAATGTCCCACTCTGGGACAATTTGTCAGAGAATATCCCACAAGAACAAAATGTTATATAACCCTATGACCCCGCTTGTTTGCACTCATGATTTAAGTTGATTGTGTTTCTACGGTCGTCCAAATTCGCAACTTGAATTAGTTTGTCATGAATTCACTAGTTTAAAATAATTACCGTCACCATGGCAATGTTTATAGCCCAACTCCAAGCAGAATGCTGAATTTCTCCGTCATTGGAGGCATTGAAGAAGACCTCTGACATTATGTCATGATATTGTATGATGTAGACACATTTCCGAAGCCCAATAATTTCTGTTTTCTCGTCAGGTGTGTCGATCACGGCACTATGGCCGGCAACAGTGATAGAAAGCCAAGTCACAGTCATGCAAGGCGTGCCTAGCAGTGTTATGAGAAAGGCTGATATATTTGCCGACGCGTGCCTTCATATCGGCAATGAAAAGACCGACAGGTGACAGGTTCTTTGATTATTAGATGGATAGAACGATTGATTGATTGATTGATTGAAATATGAACTAAAACTGAACCACCGTACCTAAGCTTGTAGCGACATTGAGCCCATCTTCTTATCCACAGGTTGAATGGCCAGGCGCTTATAGATGAAGATTACTTACGAAGTATAGGTGTTACTGACTTCACTCCGTATAGATGCGATCTCGCCGTTGAACCGCCGCGCATGATGCCACGAGCATTCCCCTCACTCAAGGTGACAGAAGAAAACGAACAATTGCATATAATACATGATCCTAAATCCAAGCTGTGATCACGCCCTTCTCGCTCATCGGCTTATGATGAATGTGGTGATTCAATTACAACTGTTGAGTTATTACTGGTGTTCGAGTCAATCGCGGTGCACGCATTCTGAAAGTTATATACATTTCTTGTCGGATTAACAACGTAGCGTTACCTATATAACCATGTCCGATGGGAATAATATCAATTTAATACATACCAAAATCGAACTTGATCTAGATCCCAAGCTGGTTAATAATATTTAGTTATTGCAACAACAAGAAACTGATTTCACCACGGAGACAGACATTTTTCCAACGAATACCTCTCTTGTCTTATGTTTTTATTGCACAAAGTTGTTTTCGGATAAAGGACTTGTTTAATACCGGTCTTATAATGTGCCATTATTTTTCAGTTTTCAATGCAAACAATACTAGCAGTGGCGGATCCAGCAAAATTTATTGGGGGGGGGGGTCCAAGCTACGCTTAAGATATACGGACCGTAAATCGCAGAGAAGCTATGCGTAATCCAGATGATACGAATCGTCATGCGTTTTGGGGG